CGCGCAGCTGTGTTTTATGTTTCCATATGGCCTTGCCAGAGGTCCCTCCCCTTAAACAGACCCAGCTTCCACAATTAGTGCAGACTCAAAACGAGTTAGTTATGGAATACATTCAGTCCCAAAGGCCTCGTGGGGCTATTTACACCTCTTTGGACTATTTCCAGGACCCCAGATTACACTGTATGTGTAAATTAAGGAAGTCTCACAATCTAACAGCTCTGGCTGGAACACGCAGCATGGCCATGTCTTATGCCCCACTTCCCAGTGCTTTTCTTGGCCTCATTTGAGTGATTTTACCACCCTGAAAGATAAACTCTCTGTATTCTTAAAAATTGAGCTTTAGAAAAGATTTCTGTCTTTTCCATTCCTAGATGTGCCTGGTTCTATTCTTCAAAAAGGTCAGACTCATTAAGTCCCTTCTTTAGCATTAAAGCACTCAGGACTTCATTTGCATTCACCTGGCCGTGTTATAAATACTTATCATCAAATACCTGCATCATATAATTTCCTTGCTTACAACAATAAATTGATTTCACTTAATGAAATTCAAAGCCAGATATAACCAACCTACGTACCCAAGTGCGGAGACCAAACATTTAACAGGCAAACATTTTACATTTTGGGGGGGCAAAAACACAAGATTCTGAGAAGACCACTCTCCTCACCAGTATATGATGCCAGTTATAGATCCCATATCCTACAAAATCTACAATGTATACTTTTCCTGTTTTATTTTTTTATCTGTGGATTCCATTGTACACCCAGAGAATCTGGGCTTGGTTTGGGGGTTTTATTTCTCCCCCTCCCCTCTCTCTGCCCTGTGAGGTCTTTTCCACTGGAACCTCCTCTCTGCATAAGCTCCTGACTCCAGTCACGTCTCTCATTTGGATACTGCTGCCTGACAGCCCAGAATCTGGTACACGGACTGCCAATAAACATTTGCTGAATCAGTTTTGGAATCTGAATAATGAGAGTTATGGTACCTGGAGAAATGATGCAAGTCCAGGAATCAGGAGATTGGTTAGCTGAATAAGATTTGATAGCAATGATGATACTGTATTATTATGCCAATTATAATAGTTAGCTTTTGACAATAATTTTATAAGTACTCTAACTAGAAGCATTAAAGCATTTATTTAATCATTGCCACATCAGGCATCATGACCCCTATTTGACAGACAAAGAAGTAAATAACATGCCCACAGCCACATAGCTTCTAAGCATATATATCCCTGGGATGAACAGGCATGTCTGTTCAATGCTGAGATGAATGCCTTTTCCCCCTTCCCTCTGATTCTTCATTTTTTCACCAACTAAATGTTGGAATGTTAACAGTCGCTAAGTTCTCTTCCAGGTTTAAGATGTTACAGATATAAGCTGACACAAATCTCAAGAAAATTTACTGGTCAACTTTTGCTTGTTGATTAAAATCTTACAAGAGACCAAGGAAAGGGTCTCCAAAGTTGACAATTTAGGAACCCTGAAGGGAAAGAGGAAGGGAAACTGTGGTGCAGCTTGAGTTTTGCTGGAGTGTTTCAGATCCACCTGAAGCTAGAATTAGCATTACCATTGTGGTAGTTATCATTAGTAAATAACTTAGGTGCCAGGCACCTATGCTAATATTTTACCCCATAAAAATCTCAACCTTTATGAAATAGAGCCACTGCTATTCCCAATTAACAGATGAAGAAACCAAATTTGTTTATGTGCACACAGCTAAGACGTGGTGGAGCTTGAGGTTATACTGTTTCTGCGTGATATTTTTACCTTATTCAATGTGATCTATCTGTCATCCTTTGTTGTTGGTCTTTAAATAAATCCCAGGGGATATAGATCAGAAATATGCTCAGTGTGTTTGCTAGCTCACACTCCAGTGCTGCCTATGTAGTGACACGTAACAGGTGTCTTGTGATACATACCACTCAGAGCAATTAGATAACTTTGGGTCACTCTCAGTCACATGCCTCTGAGTTACAAACTCTGCTTTCTTCTCCCTCTAGATTTTTTTTTCTGTCCAAAGTGAATAGACTATTAAACATAGAAAGAAAGAAAGAAAGAAAGAAAGAAAGAAAGAAAGAAAGAAAGAAAGAAAGAAAGAAAAGAGAAAGAAAACCCACACCAATGTGGGAGATTTGCAAACCCTAACCAAGGAAAAATCTCCGTAGAGAAAACATAACGCCTGGGTGGGTGATTGACATATCAGAAATCTTGTGTAAATGTGTTCCCACAGTTCATTCTATGCTTATTAGCAGGGATTATTGACACTTTCAGAAGATGTAATCTCAGGGACACTGATAGCAAATTAACTTTGGTATTAAGAGGAATTGAAGTTAGATGTTACTCTGTATACCACGACTGCCTAATTTTCATTTTAACTCTGATTTATTTTGCACACTATTACTAATCTCGTTGCATGTACCAAGCAAAAATGTATATAAATTTCTCTTTTGTTTTCATCTTCTGAAAGAAATAGCCTCCAAATTAAGCTACACGAGAAGTGTAAAAATGCCCCCAAAAAGACCCATTTAGAGTCTATAACTATTCAGAGGGAAGAAGATATTTTAGAAGCTATAATTTTTTGATCAAACAAATATTAGTTCATTTTTATTTTAGCCAAGTATATATTTTGTGAAATAACACTAATAAGGTGTGCTATTTTTCTCTAACCAAATTCTTTACAATAAAATCCAACTGCAATATTCATTTAGAAATTTGATAATGCTCTCTTGTGTGAGTTTTAGGAATATTTGAAACCCCATTGCATATAAATTATATCATGGAAAAGCTGTATAAATATTCTATTATGGCACATGCAGCTCTAAGGATCTGTCAGGATTTCCTTTATACACTCCATTCTGAGTGGTATATAAATCAGATGTAAAAATTCATGTCGGACTGAAACTCAGCCCAAAAAGCCTCCTCCAGAGGCAAATGCTTTTTTTTCGAAATGTGGTTTGAATTATGTTGGTCATTTTTAAGTTATAGAAGTGCAGAAAATGTATTTGTGGTTTTGAAGGAGAGAGATTTTTTCCATTTTTATAACTCATTAGGAAACTTTACAGGCCTTTAGACCATTTTGTGGTTTAGTTCTTTTCAGGTTTTTCCCCAAAGCAATATTAAAACTTGAATAGTGTCCGCTATGAATCCAATGATTACTGTTCTGAATACAAATGCGTGTGTGGATATATATAGGTCTATACATCTACTAGGAAAGGTTCCAGAAATATCAGGGCTGAGGTGGAAGATGAGGCTTATCAGTTATCCAGTCCTTGTCGTGGTATCCAGTTGAGTTTGTTCTAGCAAAGTAATCTATCAAAATCATAGTTTAGCATGTATTGCTTGTAATGTTAATGCTGCATCTTTAACTTGGGAAAAATCCACTGAGTTCAATACAGCTTCACAAGGAGCTGCAGCTTTCCTACCTTCTGTTTTGTGTAACATACACAGCAGGTGGTAGCCGGGTTAGTGGGTATTCACTGGCAATTATCTCATTGGAAAAGTATTCACTATGTATATATTTATATATGTTTTAGTTTGCTAAATTATGTCAAACCTGTTTGGCTGTGGAGCTAGTATGTTCCTGAGCATTTTCAGAAGCATCTAAATCGTTATTTCATGATATTTAGAGGTTATGATATTACCTGTCTTCATAGCACCAGTTAAAATCTGACAGAGTTTTATTTAGATTGAAAAAGTTGGCATAATTCACAAACTTGATTCGGCCAGTCTTTAAAACAATTTCAAAAGAAAATTAAAATAAAAGAATTTCCTGTTTGAATTGTTTTCACCTGTACTCCATTTAGTTTGTGACTGCATGGGAACAAAGCATTTAGGAGTTATTACTTATGGCTTTATACATTAAAGCCTAAGGAGTTAAAAATTTACCAATTCCATACCTTACTTTCTTTTAATTAAATTACACTTAGAGAATTAGAATCAGGGTGTCTCGATTCCTAATGCAGCTCCCTTTTCCTCATATTACACTATTTCTGGTACAGTGACTAAATTCTGTGGGTTTCGGGACAGTTAGAATTAAGCACTCAGAGGACCATCAAACACTTGCCTGTGGCTGGTGGAGCAATGGTGGACCTCCCTGTGGGGACTCTGAGGCACAGAGGGGGTCTAACTCCTCCTGAATGTTTAATTTCCATGCCACTGCTAACCTAGTGTCATGGAAATTAGTTGACTCTATAGAGAGAGCTGAAAGCCAGTTTTCTTTATTTTTCACATTCACAGGAGAGCAGGGTTACTAATGAGAGGTCCCATCCCAATTCTCTAATCTATATAAATGAATATCCTTATTTATATTTGGGTCATTTTTTTACTCTACTCCATTTATTACCGAAGTATACTAATTTGTATTCCATAATGTTACATTTTCCTATAATTATGAAATTTTATGTGCAATTTGTGTATTTCTCCTATTCTTATCTCCCTGTTAGCTTATTATTAAAGGTGTGTGTCTTATGATTTACCTGAGCAGACACTCTTACCACTTCAAACATCCCTCTGTGACTCACTCATTTAAATGTGTGTTGCAGCTTTTTGGAAAAGTCTATACATTTCTGAGCACTAAGGATATATTGAAATACAGTTTGCTGTTTATCAAAAATGTTTCAAGGTAGAGCCTAGACATTTAAAAAACACCCAAAATAGATAGCCTTGCAAAGCCAAAATAGTTCTTCTATGTGAAGAATCTAGATTTCGTGATTAAACATAAGTAATTTATAACTTATTAGGCAAGTAATATATACATTTACTATACATGTCTCACTATCCCTCTTAAATCTATTCCATTGGACCCGTATTTTTTTTTCACATTTGAAAAGATAGTGCAATGTTATCATTTGAATAGCAATGACCTTGTTAAAGCTTGGCACTATAGTTTTTTACATACCAAGTAGTAACCTTTTATATAGAATGACTACACATTCCCTACATGAAATGACATTTTCAAATTTAAGATCATGAGTAGCAAAGAATGGTAGATCCAGCCTTACCTTGATTTTACTTTTAAGCAGCCTTTTATCTGTCTGTTTCCAACTTCTTCCCGTGGTTTTACAGGCTCTGGCTCTTGTTCTTTCTTTTGACAAACCAACGCATAATTTGTGCCATTATTGTTTGACCAAAATGTACCAACAGAAGTTTCATAACGTATACAAAATTCAACTTTACTGCCATCTTTTTGATAAGGAGGAACCAATGAAATCTTAAAAGAGAACTGGTCAGTTTCACCATCACACGAATTAGGAACATATTCTGCTAAAATATCATAATGTGTCTGCCAGTCATCTAAGGACATCCTCACATACACTAACTTCTCAAAAGAAACATTCAAAACACGAATAATCCCCTTCATACTCGTAGACCCAGGAAGACATTCAGCAGACTCCAGGACTGCTTTCTTTACTTGAAGTTGTTGCAGAAGATCCTCTTTTGAAGAAGGTAAGTCAAATAATGGAGATAAAACATATTCTTCAGTGTCCTTCCTTAAGTGAAAATTAGTTGAAACACTCGGTAATTCCCAGCAATCAAATTCTTTAACAGACACAAGATCGAATCCAAAGGTGTCAGCAAATGAAACTCGCCTAGTCCCTGAAGCGGGTATGTCCAGGTACATGTCTTCAGAAGAATCAGAACCTCGTCTGCTTGGTTGAGGGGAGAAACCAGGCCTGAAACTAACTTTAACTTCTTCATCTTCACAAGGAGAATCAGATAAATTAGGAACTTCTAAAAAATTATCTTTGCTGATCTGACTAGGTACTTCAGAAGGCTCCATTGGGCTCTCTGATATCAAATAAGGGAGAACTGTACAACTAGTAGAGGCTGATATTTGAGATACTGAGGCTTAAAATAAGGATAATGTTACAGTTGACATTGCAGAAAGGAGTCAGATCTATAAATAGGTCCGATGGCGTGTAAACTATGCGAGCCTGCCTCCAAAGGCCTTTAATTTGATAGCATCTGTGCTATCCTCGCCAGTATGTTTCAGATTTAACGCTCAGGTTTGAAAGTTGCGTCTGTTGATGAATTGAGTTTTAAAGCAGCATTTTAAAAACAGTTTTATGCTGCATTAAAAGCTCTGTAACATGAGGATAAAATGTTATTTTAGCAGTTGACATTAAAAATTAAAACTTAGGATGTTTTAAAACATCAGGAAAGTAGCATCACAATACTGAGTATGTAATCTTCAGGAAATCAACCCCTAGAGAAGGGAAGTGCAGGCACAGAGTTTAAGAACTTGTACAGAGCCGGAGAGATCCAGAGCCTGCTACTAAGGATAGCCACCATGTCCTGGGGTTTATAAATACAAAATGTTTACTAGAAAGGAAGGGTCAAATAGAGATGCTGAAAGTTCTGAAGAAGGAAATATCATGTAAATGGAGAAAGTATCATTTGAACTAAACCAAGAAGCGTAGGTAGAATTTAGACAAGTAAAGTTGGTGGGAGGTGAATTTTCCAGGTGGAATAAACAGCCTGAGTCAAGAAGTAGGACAAAGAATAAATGAAATCCGTTATTTTAAACATTAGTAAATTAAAAAAAAAATAATAATCCTTGGAAAAATACTGACAAGTCCTGTGTAATTAACTTGAAGTATAAGCAGGAAAAGGTAAGCCTGGCCCAGGAGTAAAAATATTTATGCAGAATAAAATGTTCCTCTTTTGCAAATTACCATTTTATGCTCACCAAACAGAAGTTTCTTCCATGACATCTTAGAATTTGATGTGAGTCCTAAATTGTAAACAGTCTGTTTAACAGTCTGCTTATCCTCTCATATGTTGTTTTGTTAATATAAAATGCACATTGGGAATGACAATTTGATGGAAACCTATACAAGTGTTAAGGGCACACACGATTTGACCCAGAAGTGCCCCGGCTAGAAATTTTCCCTGTCAGTGCAGCAAAGTACAGAAAATAGCACTTTATGTGCCGATATGGAAAGATAAACAAGGTAAATGGTTAAGTGAGAAGAAGAAAATGTACACAGACATGTGCATAGAAAATTCCTGAAAAGATATGAAAGAAAATATTAGCAGTGCTCACCTCTAACCAGAGAGGTTAAAGATTTGGGGGGGAAAGGAGCTCTTACTTACTTCGCCCAATAGCCATTTATAGACATGAAAATGGTTTTTTTCCTTCAAAATATCTATAAGTTAAATTAAATTGACAAAATACAAAAGTGTTTTGTATTAACTTTTTTCTTAAGAAAGAGCCTAATGGCCTAAGTCAGGGGTCCTCATACTTTTTAAACAGGGGGCCAGTTCACTGTCCCTCAGACCCGTTGGAGGGCCAGACTGCGGGCTCCGGGACTAGTTGGCTGCTAAGCAAGACAGACAGTGGTGGCAAAAACACCCGGTGGGCCGGATAAATGTCCTAGGCAGGCCGCATGTGGCCTGCAGGCCATAGTTTGTGGACACCTGAAAGTTCTTCAAATGATAACTTGATAAATATAACTTTTTGAACAGTGTGAATTGCATAAAGTAGTGAATATAGAAATTATTTTTATAAAAATGAGTAGTGATTAGGAGAATAAGGAAATGAAATTATTAAGGCTTTATCTCATTTACATAGCTATAATGAATGGTGACTACACGGATTGTCTTAAGAATGGCCTATGGCCATGCAAACCTGGGGACCGTATTTTAAGGTACCTAAAATATATGGTTATGTGGTCAAGTAAATTATTTAAAAAATACTTCGTAAAATTAATGAAGTAATCCATATATCCATATCAATAATAGAATAATGAAGACTTATGAAATGTCCTAACGTTTTTTAACTCTCTGGTGGTTGACGGTGAGCAGAGGAATGCAGATGAAGACCCTGTGGTCTTTGTCCTGCCTCTGCTGCTTACCAGTTAGGTGACCTTCAGAATGTTGCTCAAATGTGCAGACCTTCAATATCTTTCATTCTAAAAATACAATGTTAAAAATTAAATAAGATGCTCATTAAATGTCTAGCACAAAACTTATAGTAAAATGGGAATCATTTTTACTCTTACCCATGTGATGGACTGATGTCTATCATACAACACATCAACAGATAGAAGGCAGATAATGGCGAATCCATATATATATATAAAACGGTAAGGAATTATTCACAATTTGTTTTTCATCGTGTCTTTTTCAAAAGCCGTAGCATGTAACACTTAGCTTTATGAGACATAACATAGCTCTACATTAGAAAATGGTCCTGTTATTTGATCTAAGCCAGCGGTGGTTCTCAACCTGTGGGTCGCAACCCACAGGAACTGTATTAAAAGGTTGCGGCATTAGGAAGGTTGGGAACCACTGATCGAAATATCCCCTTTGTAATGTGTGTCTCTACGCAGAGAGCTACTCTCTGGATCTGTAGTAATCACTCCTTTGGTTCTGGAGTTTATAACCTTCACGTAATTGTAGACAGCTGACATTGTCCCCCCTCAGTCACCACTTAGGTGAAGCAGAGTGATTGCATCTTTTTTTAATCTCTTCACACTTCAATCCTCCAGTGTTTCTATCATTTTTTCCCCTCTATGAACTTCTTGCAGCTTGCCTGTCTTTTTCTGTTAATGAGCTGCCCCCAAATGAATGCAATATTATGAGTCAAGTGTCTCTGGAGCCTGAAAAGAAACATCAGTAGCCTCAGCCTTGTGAGTTAGTGTTGGTATTCAGTTAAAATTCGCTTTTCCTCTCTGTTTCCACATCCTAGATCAGACCAATATTCTTTTCTCATATCCCTTACTACTTCAATTTCAACTCAACTTTTACACACTCTTCCTCATCTGCTTATTGTTTATAGCAGAATTGGAGCTTTTTTACAAACCGAAGCTCAAGTCTGCCCACTTTCCACATTTTGTTTTTGTTATTAATTGAAGATTCTCAAAGGTATCTTTGACAAGAAAGTTTCAGTCAGGATCCCAGTATATAGATAATAGATGGTGTGTTTTAATAATAATCCCAGGAAGCTTTATTTACAAGGGTCTATTTAAAAAATGTAAATGTAGAAAAGCCACAAGAACTAGGATGACAAAGTGGAGCCAGTCACATCAGAGGTGTTGCCACCCATTGAGGGGTAAAGAAAAATACCAATTAACAGAATTGGACAGCAAAGAGTGCCATGAAGAGTCATTTGGGGACTGGTCAAGGGGCAGGGCCAGCTAAAGATGACCTTGGTGGGAGTGATCCAGGAACATAAATATACCAAATTCCCTCTTTTCCTTTTCTATCATATCCTACCGGGGTACCCATTAGCCAGAGAGCATGGAAACTATTACATTCAGGCCAGTCTCCTGGAGCAGAGATCAGGGTAAAAAATGGTGGAAAGTGGATAAGGAGGAAGAATCAGAGAATATTAGAGATTAAATATAAGCCGATGGATATATACATTTATAATTATATATGTAACATACGTGCATGTAAGTTAAAATATGCATGCACATTCACATTTTCATACATATTCCATTCCCATGCCTAGTTTCTATTACTTGACCTTTTAGCTTCAAGCAAAAAAAAAAAAAAAAAAAGTTAAAATTCCTAAGGTCTATAAGCTCTGATCCAGTGGAAGTTACAACTGAGTGAGATTGAGTTTATCCACACAATGCTAGGAAAGAAAAGATCTTTTTGGAGATAAATTATAACTTGCATTTGTTACCTTTGTTGGTCTTGGACTGCAACCTAAGCTCAGGAAACATTTTATCAAAAGAGAATCTGGAACAGTAGTTCCTACCCAGAGATAGGTATCAGAGTCACCAGGAGAGATATTCAAACTACACCAGCTCAGATGCGCTATCAGATTTACTGAGCGAGAGTTTCCAGGATGACAATGTTTCACAAGTGATTCTGGTATATCAGCCTGGTTAAGATGCATGACCCGCTAGTCTGTCAGCCACAGGCAGGGACTTATGTTCTAGTTATAAAAATTTTAACTGTTATCCCTCAAGTGCAGCTATTGTCCCTTTTTAGATTTGGAGGCTATAAAAAGGCTTACCAAAAATGACATAGAATTAGGTAGAGTTATAGAGTAGCAGAACTTTGAAGGCATTTAGCAACCAGCTAGGCTAGAAACTTCATTTTCATATAAAAAAACATCAATCCAGAAGCACTGTTTCGTAACAGAGAGCTGACTTGAACTCAGCTCTATCTGGTCTTCAGTCCAGGATGCTCCATGCATATACCAGGCATATGCCAACTTCTAGTTTTAGAATTTATAATTAACAAATTAATCATTTGTTGAAAATAGTCATTAAAATTAATTTGTTCTAGATTTAGTTTATTTTTTTAAATCAATTAACTTTTTTGAACTTTCTTCTTCTCCACTTGATGAAAGATCTCCAGGGGTGTCCAGATAATTTTTGTTTGTCTCTCAACCTTTTCCAACCTCTGCCCCCTTTCATAAATATAATATCCTACACTATTCTCTCTCTCCCTCAGAGACTCTGCTGTATGTCTAGTTGGGAATTACTGACTTAAGCTATACAATGAATTATGTAATCTCTTCAGAACTAATATTCATACTTAGGATTTTAAAAGACTATTAGTGAAAGCATAGTACTTCCACCATAGTTTGAGACAGAGATTTGTTTATCAGATGGCATCAGTGAAAAAATATCCTTTGAAAATGTTCACATCTATTAGTGGGGTATGCACAGAGAAGTCAGGAGAGAATGGAAGCTTTATCATAGAAATATTTAAAGAGGTGTGTCATTTATTCCTAAGAGAGGTGAATGATTCAGTATAGGCAATTGATCATATTAACAGAAGATTTTGCCACCAAAGGCAATCTCCAGATTCTTTAGCTTAATTTACAAGAGAAAAACTAGTA